ACAGCAACAGCAACAGCAACAGCGACAGCGACAGCGGCAGCGACAGCGACAGCGACAGCGACAGCGACAGCGACAGCGACAGCGACAGCGACAACAACAACAACAGCAGCAACAGCAACAACCACAGCAACAACAACAACAACAACCACAACAACAGCAACAACATTGGCAAACTCGGGCAAACAGGCCGGCCGCTTATGTGGAACAGCTGCACGGGGCAGCAGGGGCACTGCCCGAAGACGGCGGTCATTTTTTGTGCTACTGGCACGGCTGTAGGCTTGTGCAGATTTTTCTCCCGCTACAGGTGGGGCTATGTGCCCACTGACCCGCCCCGGTCTTGTCGATGCAGGAACGCGTCAGGTGAAAACAATTGATGCCTGTTGTGGCAGCCAGGTTGTTGGCACCACGGCCTTCATCATGTGTGCTGAACTGGGGCACTCACTCGTGTTGACAACGCCCATTTCCCAACTCTCCACAGGCCATGAATACAAGTAACAGCAGCAAGGCAAGCGCGGCAAATGCCACAACTTCTTTCAACAGAAGCCATGTCCGTAGGGAGCAGAGCACTTCGCCCTCCAAGGAAGCCGGGAGGTCCGCTCGGAGCTGCGCATCGTGGACCGCGAGCCACCTGGAACTGCGAGTTTTTGGATGGGCTACACAGGGGCTGCTGCTTTGTGTGTGTGTGTGTGCCTGTGCCTGTGCTTGCATGTGATGCAAGCACCCTGCACGGACGCGCTGCCGTTTGGACAAGCTTAAGCTGCGGCAGTCCCAAGACGTGACTCTGCCCCCAAAAGAGAAAATGCTCCGAAACCCCACACCAAGACATTCCAAACACGAGAGTCAAACACGAGAGTCGAACTCGTCCTTTCCCAACCTTGGCTCATGCATGCGCATTGCCTGGCTATGGCGGAGACGAAACCGGACCAGTTGTTTTGAGGGGGTTCTTGAGCTCACAGCCCTTGATAGTTTTTGAGACTTGCCGTCAGCTTCGTTGTGCCTTTGCCTGGAAGGACGAGGTGCTTTCATTGCAACCTCCTGACACACTGCTGTTGCCGATGCCGATGAAGGACGAATATTGTGATGCCACTAAAAGCTGTAGTTTCGTTTCTGGTGGTGAACTCACTTGTCATGTGGCCTCGAAGCGTAGGGACGTAGAGACGGGGTTCAACTTCCCTCGAGCCGGCGCTGCCTGCAGGCTCCGAGCTCCCCACCGCAGGCCAGGCCGCATCTCGCAAATCTTGAGGTATTCGGAATGAGGCGCCCAAGCTTGATCATGGATTGTTTAAAACAGAGGTGTTTAATTACCTTGCTGCTTGGCAGGTGTTCAGAGAGGACGCTAGGAATTGTGTGGAACAGAAGGCTTTTCCGTCTCATTTCCGCAGGTGGCTCCTGCATTGCTTTGCCGGGCCAGACATCCGCCTGCCACCCTCCTCCGCACCTGCACCGATGTCACCACTCACTTTGGGACTAAGTGTTTGTCTATGTCCGCATGATCTTTTCTAGCCTATCCCTGCATCTCCCTCTCCTCCCTACCCGCTACTTTTGAGTAAAGTTTTACTGCTGATATGGATGTCAATCGTCGCATCATCGTCATCGTGATCGTCCTCAACCTCATGATCCGTCACTCGCCCAAGCAATACTGTAACAAGCGGAGCATACAATCAAGGAAACCATTGTACTGATCACAGATACAACCTACCATACCGACAGCACCATGCATTACTGCTTCTCCTCCTCCTCGTCGCTGGCTGCTGCTAGTAAAAGTACACTCTACCGCCACCACCACGGAGGCTAGCAGCCCCGCCGGACCTGAGAGGGATTGAGAGACTCCTCTTCCTGCTTCTCTCTTCGTCTAATCCGAGCCTTCCACCGTGAATGATCCAACTGCAGCAGGCTTCGGCCGTGGTCTCCCCGCCCGTGATGACCCCGCCGAGCTCAGCAATGTCTCCCAAGTCCCCGAAGCAGCTCGGAAGCAAGCTGCTAGTGGTAAAACTTTGAAGCACTGCGACTGCTAAGACACCAGATGCATTCTGCACAGCTTCCTTCAACCTTGGAGTTCTCGTGCGACCTTGGAGTTTCTGGCATCCGAGGTCTCCGCGCTGGAAGCGCTTCGGGCTGGCAGTGGGTTCCGGGAACCTGAGCTCTGGAAACTCCGTGATGGCTGCCGACGCCCGTTTGCAAGGATGGCGCATGAAAGGACTAGGCACGTCTGTTCAGGGCTGTGTTCATGGTTGGGCTTAGGAATCTGAGCAGCTCAAGAAGAAGCTCATCACACGCCTGGTGGAGAAGGGTGGAGCAACTTTGGAAGATTTCTACTGGCAGGATGCAGCGGTTGTTCCAGCCGAAAGAAGTTGGTCAGCCCGCTGTGGCCGCTGCAAAATTTTTATTTAAGGATACTTGATTGGGGTACTCTGTTTTGAGTCGCTTTTTTAGTCAGCGGACGCAGGACGGATGTGCACAGAGAGTGGCTCGAAGTCCTTTATTCCATCATGCGACTCTGTTCATGATCGTGCTCTATGCAGTGTGGATTGCCGTCGATGCTGATGGCAACCCTGCTTCTGTGCTGGTGGACGCTCCGCTCGAATACCAGATCCCAGAGCATGTCTTCTGTACTTATTTCTTCGTCGAGTGGTTTATACGCTGCTTGGCGAATCAAGGCCTCGCTCTCCCTCCTCCCTAAGTCCCTCCCTCCCCAGCTGGGTCGTACTCGGCGCAAGCAAGTTGCTAGTTGGACTGCTCCGCAGTGAAAATCCTGAAATGCCTGGCAACCTGGAATCAGCACAGGGTACTGGGATCCCGAGGTTTTCTGGCATTTCAGTCGAAGCGCATGGCATTGCGCGATCGCTGGTTTGTCTTCGACTTCTGGCTGAAGTTTAATTGTGATGTTTTCCCTTTATCTCCTTTTGTTGGCAAAACTCAAGACCTTGTGGAACTCTAGGAGAGTTGCAGGTTGCGCGCTTCCACCAAGGACACCGTGCTGGTGTCCTTGAATGTAGCTGAGACATGGGTGCTGACCATTGTCTTGGTGCCGAGCTCAGACGCGTCCTGATACTACTATGCTGTTTGTTTTATGACTCTGAGCGTTGCTATTAGCTGCTAGCAGGAGTAAAAGTTCGAGCACTGTGGCTAAGACTTGTGTCTGTCTGAGCACTTCTTCTGCCAAGATGATGATCCGTGTCTTGGGCTGTCGGTGGATCGCAAAGTCGCCACTTAACTGCCCCAGGCCTTGAGCCACAGCAATGCGGCTGCTCGCCTGAAGATAGTGGCAGGGGTTCCGGCGTAGATGAGTATGACAAATTCAAACACAAGGCCCAAACGAATAGTACATACATAGCTGTGTGTGTATATATATATATGGAAATATGTATATACATGTAGTACACAAGCATGCAAGCTTTTCTTTAAAGACATGTGTATGTTTACATACATGTACATGCGCGCACACACGCATGCATATATATATATATATGTATGCATGCTCAACCCCCCCCCCCCCACGACAGACCGCGGCACATGTACAGTGTGTTCCTGGCAGGTGACTCGGCCAAGATCGGCTCCTGTGACATTCAACCCCTAAGGAAACGCACGGCAACCTGCACAAATCTTAAGCCGATCGTATGTAAGTAGCTAGAAACTCTTGTATCTATGATCAATCAAAAACACCATGTACTCAGGATGCACGCACAAGATAATGTATGTATGTATGTATGTATGTATGTATGTACGTCTGTATGTATGTATGTATGTATGTATGTATGTATGTATGTATGGATATATGTATGTATGTAAGTATGTAGGTAATTAAGCACATAGTATCACACACGTATGTACTCACACAATCATATATTCACATGGTCACGCATACAAACGCAACATCTATGTCCATGTGTGCATGGGTTGTCTTGAAGGACTGCTCTTAACTTCTCTAGCCTTTCAAGATTCAACATACACTCGCAAGGCAGATAGACCTCACGACATTGCATCCTCTCAGCCATGTGCGCCGGTAAGACTGGTATTGAACTTGAAGCAACCGATAAGGCTAAGCCTATTCCCACCCACAGTTGAAGCCTTCGATCTGAGGACACTGCCTTGGGTGGGACATCCTCCCTGCGCGCCTCGATTGCTTGGAAACGACGATATGGGATCGACTTGTGTATTGTGGTATGCATAAGTGTCAGGGGTAGCTGTCCCTCGTACTCGCTGCCAGTTATCAGTGCCCGTAGTAGCAGCTACTCTTCGAAGCGAGGCTTTGGTTCCAAGTGGCCGCAGCTGAGGTTTGATCCGTCTGATGAGGCTGTCCCGGCTTGCCAGGCCGAACCAATCGGAAGTGGCGTCTCATGTTGTCTCTGGTTGCACACGGTTCCTCATGCTTCTTGTATGGGCAGACGTGAGGGTGCGTTCGAGTTTGTTGTAACTGCAGAAGGTTGTTTAGGACACCTTATGTCATCATATCTGGTTGGAAGAGTGTCCAACTTCATCTTCCCTTATCTGCCTACCGGTGCATACAGTAGCCGTGGTAGGTTTCGTTCTGGGATGGCATTTAATTGTGCATGAGTACAGGAGTACCTCTGTCTACATGTGATTGTGTGTGTGTGCATCTGGTTTCATATTAGTATACTTGTACGTGTGAGTGTATAATGCACATATATGCATATTTTTATCTACATCAATGTGCGTATCTCTTTCATTGCCTATCAGTATCAATATCATATTCAACATCTACATTGATGTGTTTATCCATGTCTAGATTTGTTGCATCTGTGCCTGTATTCGTGTCTGTATCTGCATCGGCACATATGCATATATGCTTATATGCATGTATTTATGTATGTCTGCATGTATGCATGTA